TAGAAGCAGAAACAGCAGTCCAGCGCTTTCTGACACCCACAGGGCCCCTGCCCCGCTGGTCCGCCCTCCTTCCCAGGGCGGCCCAGCAAACACACATGGCCGTGTTCCCGAATGGACACTGCTTCCCCTGCTTCAGTGCTGCTTCAGGGTGAAAAGCTAAAGCTAACAGTCTCCACCCTGGTGCCTTCCAATGAGACCCAGTCCTCAGTGTAGCGGGGCCCTCCCTCCCACAGCACATCTGACTTGCCTCACTCGCTCATTTCTCTCCACCAAGCTGGACTCAGCCCGCTGCCACCTTTCAAAATACTCGCCAGCTGGTCCAGCCCCCGGCCGGAGGTCCGCAGGCTGCAGGGGACACTTCACAACACACCCTTTTCCATTACAACAATGCTGATCAGGGGTTAAGAGACTTCTTACCGGCACTTCTCAGGCACTAACTTTGACGGTAATTAAAACGAGCCTCACTGAATGAACAAGTGACTGTCGGCACCGCACCTCCAGTAGTGTTTCACAGAAGTAGCTGCCCTGGACGGGGCCCCGCGATGCCCGCCAGCCCGCCCTCTCGATGGTGACGCGCTTCCATGAGACCCACCTGTGCTCCGTGAGGACGCTCACTGCCGACGGGTGGTTGGCGCAGTACGCAAGGTACAGGGTCTTCATCTGCGGCATCAGGTTTAGAAAGCAGCCTCCGACTCTCTGCTGAGCTTCCGGCACCCTGGAGACACGCAGCACAGGGGAAGGCACCCTGAGTGCCACGACAGCAGGGCAGCCCACCACTGCTAACGCGGAGAATGCGCGCGAGCGAGCTTGTGGGTCACCGCCACGCAGACGGGGCGGCAGAGCATCAGGCTGTGGCTGCTCTGCCACGAAGCCGGGGGCAGGCGCCGGCCTCGGACGCCCGCCTGCCGCTGCCTCCCCTCCAGCGTCCAGATGCAAGGGCCTGTGCCCAAGCCCAGACTTCCTGCCTCGGGCAGTGAGGAAGCAGGCGTGGTGAAGCCCAGCCTCTGTGTGAGAGCGGGACCCCAGGGCCGCACCTCCAGCAAGACCTGACACAGGTGCAGGCGGCACTGGCCTGACGTCAGGTGTGGTCTCGTCACTGCCCTGACGACAGGAGGGGTCACTGTGGCCTGACGGCAGGCAGAGTATCAGATGCCATCAATCAGTGGTCTCACAGGGACATCATCAGACAGGGCCTCATAAGAGGCGAGGTGTTACCGAGGGTCTGGTAGCAGGCAGGGCGGCACAAACTGTCCAGCCTCCGTCTCTGCAGTTAGAGCAACAGCAGAAGGTAAAAGGGGACACGTAAGGGCCCCTTTTCCTTCCCTAGCGTGAAAATGAGTGAATCCCAGGAAGAGCTCGTCGAGGCCCAGAACTGCAGAACAGCTCTCCCCCGTAAGACAGCTGCTCCTGCTGCCGGGACAGATTACAGCCCAGCGGCCTCTGACTTGACAGGAAGACTCAGATCAACGCCAGGGCCTGACTCTGAGCTGGGGGAACCTCACACACCGGGCCGTCCTCAACTGAGCCCGCAGGGTCCCCACATTACTGCCCGGCGGCATCAACAGAGGCTGACCGTGCTCCCGGGTCTGAGCGAACAGGCGGGGCTTCGGTAAGAGGAAAAGCGGAAGAAGGTGGATCCAAGGGAAGGGAGAGCCCGGTGGGAAATCACGCCTCTCAGCAGAAAGGGAGGGTTCTTCCGGGCTGAGGCGCCAGCAGGGGAAGGAGGGACCCCCAGGTTATCCCAACTTGGGAACTGCCTTCTAACTCAGCCTTCCCCTGACAAGCTGACCTGTACAAGGGCCTCGAAGACCAGTCTGTAAGACACAGCTGAGAACAAATACATGAATGACCAGGTGCCACCAGAGTTTCTGAGCAGAGCTCAGACCAGAGGCTGATGGAGAGATGGATGTGCAGGGGTCAGCTGCAGGTCAGGCCTGGTCAGGAGGTCCGTGCAGCACGCAGGGAAGGCGAGGCCGGCCTGAGACAGGGTGGTGTCAGCCTAAGGGCAGGGCAGCTGCTACCACAAGAAACACGACCCCTTACAGGACCGAATGCTTGGGAAAAGAGCACCAGCTCTAACAGTTCTGGGCGTAGGGTGACCCAAGAGGGACGGGGGCAGGAGAGCGAACGAACGCACGAACTCCCAGACACGAGGGGCCGCCACAAGCCGCGGGGACCGCAGGCAGCACACTTGACTCTAGAACACCCAACCACAAGGACATACCACTTCAAGTAGCTTTCATGAAAGAGTAAAGGTCACTTTTAGTAACATTCTCACAAAAGCACTACCTAACGGCTACTAGTCAGGAACTGGAGACAACAGGTAGTTACAAAACGTGGAAAAGAATTCTAACAACATA